GATTTGTCATACATAAATTGTGTTATGTGTAACGTGTTATTTATCAGATTCAGATTATGTTATGTGTTCAAACTCTCAGATCAGGTAATTGCATTCTCATTTGGATTAGATCGGAATTCAGATATATGATATTCGAGTATGTATTATTCGGATATGTGTTATTTGAATCAGATCAGATTTCGAATATGTGTGCCATTTGTATATCATATTGGGACGAATTTTGATAGGGGAAGTTCAGTGCATTCACTCGATGGGGGTGAATGTCACTTTTTTGGATTTAGAGGCCTCTTCCTATTTGGCAGACCCCACTCATATGGTGTGTGGGTTGGAATTAGTGCGGTTTTGGGGAACCCACACTTTCGGGTGAGACTGGAGTATGGGTGGGTGCATGAGCATTTGCATAACATTTAAACTGTCATTACCGTTGAGGATCTAGCGTATGAATATTACTGTAAATGCTTCAGACTATGCTTTTACTTGTGATTGATTGCATTTTAGAGACACACTAAGCTTAATAGCTTACACCCCTTAGTTTTATTATTTCAGATTCTCGAGCTAGGTGAACCAGTATTTGGAGTTGCATCTTTATTCATATTTTACTATTTTCATAGTATGACATTTATTCGGATTCTTTATTTACAATTATTTTATTGAGATATTATTTAATATGTTTAAATATATTGGGACATTGAACATAAACTCTATTTTGGACTGTAGACTTGAACTTTAGATTCGGTATACATTTTATTTACATTATATTTATTATTTGATTATTTAAACTATTTGTTATAAATAAATGTGAGGGTTAATTTTAAAGTATTTTAAAATAATGTTTGGGTAAATTTTTGGGAAATCTAGTTAATGGACTTTCTGGATCCGGCATGTTTCGTAAGTCGGGTATAGGGTGTTACACCCATTATGTAGGGAACCCTTCACCTGTGAACCCAATTAGTATTGGTGTTTGATTTTTCTTTTTTGTTTTGGTAAAAAGGTTTTGCATGCATTTTTGTTTTTCTTTAACTTTGGTGAAAAGCCATTTTGTCTTTTGGCTTGTTATGTGTGTAGGCAGTAAGTAAACCAGATTAGAAAGAGAGAGAAGCTCATATTCGAGAGGAAAAGAGATGAGAAAAACATATTTTTGAAGCTTGGTGCAGCAGTGATTAACTCTTCGATTGAAGGTCCATTAGTGGTTGGATTGAGCTGAGTTTTAGACAATTACTAGGTGACTTAGTGTTATTGACTTTGTATGGTCGAATTTTTCATTCGAGCCCTGTAACATCGGAATTACCCATTTTATAGAAGCTATATTTTTGTGATGTTCTCCTATTTTTCTCTCTTTTGCTAAAGATTACTAGTTATAGTCTTGTTCGGGTTGAATGTTTGTTGTTGGATGGATATTGTAGTCTTGTAGTTAAAATTTTGATCATAATGGATCTTTTTTATCAGACTTTAAAGTCTAGTGGTTTTTCCCTTGATTTAACAGGTTATTTTTACGTAAAAATATTGGTGTCTCGATTTATTATTTTGTGGTTGCATTGGTTAATTTGTGGTTGATTAGTGTTGCTAGAGAACATATTTTGTGCTATTGTTTTCCATAATTGTTTATAGGACTTTATAGGGAAAGAAAGAACATTGGTTGTGCTTCCGCTTAATTTTGATTGTTCGATCCCCAAATAAATTTTACATAATAGTCTTTGTAGTTAACTTTAATAACAGTTGTGGTTTAATATTTTTATGTTTCAAATTTTATTATCTATTTTGATTTGATTATTTAAAAAAAAATTATAAGTAATTTATTTTCATAATTATATATCTTTTTAATGATCTAAATAAAGATTAATTTCATCCAATTTAAGTTGGTTACGATTTTGAGTTAGACAATTCACCATTCCAGACAATAAACTCTACTCAACCTTATTTGTGTCTTTGTAATCTTGAATTCCTCCTCTATTGAGTTATCCATTTTTGGTAGTGATGAGTAATACTTGTCCATTTTCACAAATACTATGAAACTGGAAAATCCATCAATCATTATGCTTCTATCCATTGGAGGTGGCAGTGTTTATAATGAATTACTGTACTTTTGGAGTGACATGGATTGATTTTGAAGATGTTGAGGTTGTCAAAATGAAAGTCTCCTATGTCAAGGATTACTTTGTGTGGTTAATTGGGTGTTTTCTCAAGCTAGTAGGCTAACTCTTTCCAACTTACTCAATTTTAATTTATTTTAACATGCAGATTCACAGCAAAATAAGATAATTAGCTAATCAAAAAATCATTATATGTTAATGGTGATATTGATCAAAAAATGAAAGGCGGGTGTTCCTTTGTATTTTGATTCCTATTGGTCATGATTTTGGTTGGTATGTTGGCATGTTACTTGCTAAAGGCAGAGATGATGAAAGTGAAGACAAACATGGTTCATGTAGCTAAAAGTTCGAAACACAGAGCAAATCAACAGGGAGCTACTGGAGATTTTCACAACAATGATTCAAATATGAGGGTCTATAGTTTATCTTATCTACAAGTGGCCACATGTGAATATGGTCCTGTTTACAAGGTATTGATAGAGCAACTTTAAGCTATTTGGTATAAAGTTATGGACATCACATTGTATTTTAGCCATGAAATTGCCCACAGATTGAGTTAGACATATGGGAAAGATCGATGTGCTGGTTGATATTTATCATTTCTGATTTGACAGTGTGTATTAAACAGAATAAAAATCCTCTGCCTTCTATTTGTGTCCCTATGTGTGCCCCTCTAATGATTTTCTAACACGTATCAGTTTTACTTTTCATGGCGAAACTCATGTAGAAAAAAGTATTCCTATTACTTTTCAATTTTACTTCTTCTTCTATCTTCCAACTTATTTGGTAAAATCCTAAACCCTGACAGTGAGAAAAATTTTCTAAGGGGCAACTATGATCTCAAGTCGTACTGAAAAACTAATGGTATTCATACCGCATAATCTATATCTTCTAAACTTGTTTGTTGTCATATATCTTCACTCAAGCACATTGTTTAAATATAATCCAATTAAGCATCCTCTTTGTTCTCTTCTAACTTGTTTGTTGCCAAGAAAAATATCTTCAACTAGTTCAGAGCTTCCGAATGGGATATGTCATCGATTTTCACTGGCCGAGCTCCAAGCCGCTACTAGCAACTTCCACCTAGACCCCATTATTCATACTATTCCTTTCTATAATAGAATTGTTTATAAAGGGACCATCGGTTAATGAAACTGTTATTGCTATCAGACGCATCAATGAAAATTCAAGATTCAATGAGGTAAAGCTGTTTTTCCCAAGCGTTCTGTAATCCACTGTAACTTCAATACCTCAAACATACTTATAGAAGAGCAATGGTCTTCTAAACTTTTCGATATTGACTTCTTTAAACTTGGTCCTCGTAGCATGTCCAAAGGCTTGATAAGAATGGATTCACGTGTGGTGGGAACTTCAGGATATTTGGATCCAAGTATGCCATATCTGGGGAACTCAGAAAAATCTAACATCTTCTCGTTTGGGGTCACCTTGTTCGTAGTTCTTTTTTATAAAGCAACATTTTTTTAAAAATGTTAGCCGCTTCAGGGGATAATAAGAATTGTTTTTTATAGAGGAATAAAACCATCTTTCATAAAATTAATCCTCTACCCATATTGATGTCATTCCACAAGCTTGACAAGAGCAAGTCTCTTAAAAGCCACTTGTTGCTTCTTTGCTACTACAGTTGTTCTCCCTTAACTCATCCACTGCAGCTATTGACCCATATGGCAGAGCAACGATTAGTCATAGTCAATTGAATAATCAAAGTTGTATACTTGATCGGGCCAAGGAATCCCTATGGGAAGAAACCATTTATCATGCCATTGATCTATACCTCAAGGGCATGGTAGCTCGGGAATGTTTGAGCAAGTATTTGGAAATAGCTTGTCTTGGAACTACAAGACAGATCGGATGCTGAAATGGAGGCCATCAATCCTTCTAGTAAATGTCTGTACGAAGAAGCATTGTTTTCTGTCTTTGTTAGTAATTTGGATTTTACCAAGTGGGTTGGAAGGAAGAAAATGAAGTAAAATAGGAAAGAAATAATTCTCTTTTACATTAGTTTTGTTGGAAAAGTAAAACTGACACGTCTAAGAAAATTATTGGAGTGACACACATAGGGGCACAAATAGGGGGTGGAGGATTTATGTTCATTAGCAGATAATAAAAATGCCTTCAAAGACATACACACTGTAGGATATGAGAAGTTAAAGAATAAGGTTAAGCTTACAACAAAACTACAGCATATAAATCTTGTTAGTTTTAGGATTCTGCATTGAAAATGAAGACAAATGTTGATCAATGAGTACCTGATAAGACTTTGGATCGGTATCTTATCGGTACCTTTATCGTAAGTCTTTTTATTGTGATCAAGGGGAGTATTATTCTTCCTTGAGGTTATGGATTCAAACAACTGTGTTTGTGGGTGGATGTGCGTTGTTAGTGATTAATAAATATTTTAAACAAATACAATTAAAAAAATAATAAATAGGCATGCATAATGTTATTAACCAATGCGATCAAAACTTATATGTAAATCATTATTGACATATAGTTATATGTTAATATCTACTTGGAATTTATACTATTTAATTTTTAGAGTCATTATCGTAGTTGTAACAATATTGGAGATATTAGGACTGGTTTAAAAATGCATTTTGGGATGTTTTTAAAGCATAACACAATGTCAGACAACCATTTCGGCTTTTTTATTAAATCCCATTCAAGCATCATTTAATCAACATCAGAAATAATATTTTCAAAAATTATTCTCAGTAAAATAAAATATACCCTAAAACGATGAATCTGTCTCGGTAAATTATGTAGAAGGCCCAAACATGAAACAAAGTATACATTATGGATTCACAAAACCCAGCATAATTTGGTCTGTAAATCACCAATATAAACCCACATCTTCAAAGTCCACAAATGGTCATTCCTATAAACCCAAAATCCAAGCAGCTTCAGCACAAGTTCATTTTGGTTTTTTTCCATCCTCGAAGTTCAGAGATCGTATTCTTAACCGCCACGCCAACCATGGTAATCAACCCGCTTCCTCCCTCTTCTTCTTTAACAATGAATTTCTTTTGTTCTTTTCTTTTCCCCTTTATTCTTCAAAAGGGTTGATTGTCTCTGGAGAAATTTTAGTTTTAAAGGATGGCACTCTCCTCTCGGATGTTGTGAATGGTTTCTTTTCTTTCCAAATGACAGCCTTCACATAAGACTTTCATGATCAAGAAGAAGCTGGCCAAGAAGATGAGGCAGAACAGGCCTATCCCTTACTGGATCCGCTTGCGAACCGATAACACCATCAGGTCTGTACATTTCTGCAATTTTTTCTTATATATGTAAGCTATTTTCATATTATTGATTGATGGGTTGTTTTCGATTTTTGCTTTTTGCAGGTACAATGCGAAGCGTCGGCACTGGCGCCGCACCAAGCTAGGGTTCTAAGCTCTATGGGTTTATTTATTCAAGCTATTTTTCTGCTTGTTGCCAAGTTATTTCTAGACATTTTAATTTTGCCGTGGATATTGGAAACTATGGGCTGATGACAATACTTGGTAATTGTTTCAATTTTTTTATCTAATGTTTGACATTTGAATCTGGATATCTTGTTTAATTTTTGTGAAAGCTCTACTATTATGATCTTGCGTACTCTGATTTAGTTTGAAAAAGATAGTCTCAATCCAGCTGATTTGAGTATTTAGGGTTTTTTGTATTGAGATAAATATTCAATTCAAACCGCAAAACAAAAATCTAGTAAGTTTAATTATTAAAAAGTAGGTTTTAATTTCAGTTTACATAGTTAAATTCATTTAAAAAAACAGAATTTAAGCGAAAAAAAAATCTAAAAAAGAGAAAAATACATTAAGCTGTTCAAGACCTTTTGTAGAGACTGCGAGCGGAATACAAAGGTTGCTTTCAATCATTCGACCAGTGACACGATGTCATAACCGTTAAAAAAATTAGATTTAAAATAAAAATAAGTATTTAACCGTTAAAAAAATTAGATTTAAAATAAAAATAAGTATTTAAATTATGTCTCGAAAAATATTTGTCTAAATAATTTTTCATTGTATATAGGTGTAAAATATTTTCTCCGTTACTATTTTAAGAGTTTAGACGTTAATTGTCGTTAAAAAAACTCGTTAACTGGCATGTATTATATTCTAGTATTTTTAATTTTTTTAAAAAAATACTTTATATTAAAAATTAAAAAAAACAGCTTGTTTTTATCCCACCCCCACCTTCCCTTTCTCCCTCCCTTTTTGCTCCCTTTTCCCACTACCAATTGTCACGGTCGATCAAATGGTAAACGATCGACTGTCACATCCGATCAAACAGTCGATTAGTAAGATCGAACTAAGGGATTTTTATGATTTGGAACCTAAAACAAAAATTTTTAATTACATCATTTTTTGTGTTCAATCGATTGCGAAAGTATGGGGTTTTGGTTGTGGGTAGTTAGCTGATCACAATTTGTTGGGTGTTCGGCCGATTGACGGTGTTGGTGGCAATGGTGTGACAAAGGGATTAAAATGAAATTTTTAAAAGTTTTTGGTTTTTTTTAAGATTTGAAAAAAATAGGTTTTTGGTTTTGGTTGTGGGTAGTTAGCTAATCACAATTCATTGGGTGTTCGGCCGATTGACTGTGTTGGTGGCAACTGGTGTGACAAGGGATTAAAATGAAATTTTTACAAGTTTTGTTTTTTTAAGATTTGAAAAAAATAGGTTTTTTAATTATTTTTTATTTTAAATTAAAATTCACAAAATTATCATATCAAGACACATGTCACTAAAAGATTATTTTTAACGACGATTGACGTCAGACACCTAAAAATGTATTAGGAAAAAAGTTAGACACCTATTTTTAGCAAAATATTATTTAGAAACTAAAACATTTTTCGAGACATAGTTTAGACAAATATTTTTGTATTAAGCCAAAAAATTATTATCTAATACATTATAAAACTTTTTTAAAAATTTATTTTAAATATAAATTATAAATTAAAAGTTCAATTCTTTTCAAATATATAAAAAATTGGCTCAAGGGTCGCTTTTGTCCCTGTAGTAGACACAATTTATCATTTTCGTCCCTATCGTATTTTTGCATCAATTTAACCATCAAAATTGTGTAATTGCATCATTTTATACCCTACCTCTAACTTAGAACACTAAATTGTTTGATTGCATCAAAATTATTTATAATTTAAGTTTTGAGTTACGGTAGGATATAGAGTGATGCAATCGAGTAACTTCATTGGTTAATTTTTCGATGGGTAAATTGATGCAAAAATGCGATAGGGGCGAAAGTGATAAATTAAGTATACTATAAGAACAAAAGTTATCATTTTATAAAAAAAATAAAACTCTAAAAATCCTAATCAAAACCTCTTTTCCATCGTCGATCATCATTGACGTTGCCCTGATCGTCATTTTTATTGTCGTCTACTTCATCTAATTAGATTCTATCAAACCCTTAATGCATAATGGGAGAAATTGTCATTGTGTAGAGGGTTCATTGCTTGGTTGCTGCGTGAGGAATCGCAGAAGTAACAACATTGGTCACGGAATGAAAAGGGTTTCGGTCGTGGATCTTCAATCAGGCAGGCAAAGTTGAAATTTCGATCGGTTAGCAATATTGGTGATGGCAGACAGTGATAAGAGGTTAGGGTTTTAACAGATTTTTTTCAGGATTTTAGGATATTTTATAATTTTAGAAAAATTAAAGTTATTTATTAAAAATAATAATTTTATTTTTTAAAAGATAAAAACTTCATTAACACGACACATGTAAGATAAAGAATTTTTTTAACGATCGTGACGGACCAAACACTTAAAATAATAATGACGAAAATATTAAACATTATTTCGAACGAAAAATACATTAAATGCCTAAAATAAACAAAAACGTAAAAGAACTTATTTTTCACTATGCCTTCTTTAAATTATGTTTTTTTTTTCTTTTAAATTTTTTCTTTTATTTTTTAGTCACTTTTCTTTCAAAAACTTTAATGTTATTTATCTCTTTTTCATTCTTAGTTGATAGACACCAATATTAATCTTAATATTGATTATTATCGTGTATATTTCTGGTTTGTCTTATAATTTTTTATATCATGTCATGTCATATCATATCTTTATTTTTATTTTTTTATTTTTTTAATAATTCTGTTTTTATGACACGATTTCTTCTGCTTTTATAACACGTTTTTGGTCATTTGACCATTATTTTGGTTTTTCTTTTTCAGGGTTATATTTGATATCGTCGTGATAGATCAAGATGACGTTTTTTTATTATCATGTTAATATTTCCTACTTTGGAACCTCATAATAGATTTGGATACACAATTTGCGTTCATGATAACTTTTCACTTTGCTCGATTAGTTTTATCCCTCTTTTTGGTTTGTTTACCAATGCACCGAGATATGTTTGTAAGTAGTCTTTGTTCAAGTTTTTTTTTAGGTTTTCAACTTTTTTCTTGTATGGTCTTTGCATGATATTAAGTGGCTAGTTTGTGTTAATAGTTATAAAAAATGTCTTAGTTATATAGTTAATTTACATTTATAATAGTGAATATTCATTGTAATTTTAGATATTTTATTTTTTTCAACAAAACTAACGGATTCTATCAACTTTTTTTTATCAAAACAATACATAATTATCATTTTGTAATTTTTAAGGTTATTTATTAACCTCATTAAGAAATGTTTAATCAATAATAAGATAACACGACATGTCAAATAATTTAACCTAAATTTTGATTTATAATTTTTAGACTTCATACGAGTGTTTTAACATTTTTACGTATAATCAATTTCTGAATGTAGTTTTCACTCTGATTTTAGATAGAAACCTCTAAAATTATAGTTTTAAGGTAACTTTATAAGTATTAGATCATGGCCCAAAAATAATCGATGACTTAATATTTAAAAAAAACGCGAGTATTTCTAAAAAAATATTTTCAATTTTGACGACTCCATTCTTCCCATCTTTTTATTTTCTCACTTACCCACACAAAACTTTAATCTTTTTAACACACATTAAAATTTTTATCCATGTATTTACTGCTATATTTAGCGGCCTAACTAACAACTATATTGATGGAAGAACTTAATTGATATAATAATATATTTTTAGGATCTAAGTATAATGTTTTAGAGTTTGAGGACCGATTTAAAATCAGATTTATAGTTCACGTCGTCAAGTGCAATTAAGACATTGTATAACATTTGCAAACTCGTCAAACGGTGCCGTTTTTCTGACAGAGACATCTTAAACGTGTCAACGACGTTAATTGCATCGTCTTCATATCTTCAATCTCAAACCACTTTTTTGGACGGCTGATCTGTTTGCTGCTTGGACAGATCTTTAAAATTGACATCGGAATCCGTTAGCCACCATCCATGGCGCCTCCGGCTCAATCCCAACGGTCACCGTCTCCGTCTCAGCCTTCCGGGTATCTATAGCATTTCCCCTTATCCACATACTCCAAGCCTTTAATTTTAGCTGCAAATTGTAAAGTGTTTTTTGTTTGTTTTTATTTTTTCGAAATCTGATTTAGTTCTTCATCTCTTTTTTTTGAAACTCTAATTAATCGTTTTTATTATTGTTAATAGTAAAAGTGAACTCTCCGATTTGAAACTCCAGCTCCGGAAATTTGCGGGAAGCCGAGCCCCGGGTGTGGACGATTCGAAGCGAGAGCTTTTCAAAAAAGTGATCTCCTATATGACGATTGGAATCGATGTGTCCTCTCTTTTCGGCGAGATGGTGATGTGTTCGGCCACATCCGACATCGTTTTGAAGAAAATGTGTTATCTCTACGTCGGTAATTATGCCAAAGTCAACCCCGATCTCGCTCTATTGACCATCAATTTCCTCCAAAGGGATTGCCATGACCAAGATCCAATGATCCGAGGGCTAGCCTTGCGGAGTTTGTGTTCGTTACGAGTCGCAAATCTGGTTGAGTATTTGGTGGGGCCATTAGGATCAGGATTGAAAGATAGTAATAGTTATGTGAGAATGGTGGCGGTCATTGGAGTTTTGAAGCTTTATCATATCTCAGCTTCGACATGTATTGATGCAGATTTTCCTTCGATGTTGAAGCATTTGATGCTCAATGACTCAGATACTCAAGTGAGAGCTAGTTATAAAGCTTGAGTTGATTGTCGAACATTTTATTATAATTTTTAAGAATTAGCTTGCATCTTAATGAGATATTTCTTTCATTAGGTTGTTGCAAACTGTTTGTCTGCATTACAAGAGATTTGGAGCGCGGAAGCTAGCAGGTCTGAAGAGGCACCAAGGGAAAGGGAAGCTTTGATTAGCAAGCCAGTTATTTATTACCTATTGAATAGGTATTTTCCATAGATAAAATTGAAGAATCAATGAGAAAGTTCAATTCTTACAATCTTGTGGTGATTATTCTGCCATTTATCTTGCTGTATAAGTAATTCTATTTAAATGGGTTTTTACATGTAGGATCAAGGAGTTCAGTGAATGGGCACAGTGCCTTGTGCTTGAGTTGATAACTAAATATGTGCCATCAGACAGCAGTGAGATTTTTGACATTA